TACATTGTTATTAATATTTATTTGTATTTATATAATTTGTATTGTATTTGTTGTAATTCTGGACTGTTCAACTTAGAATGGCTTCCATATGTTATTACATATATTCTTATGACAACCCATGTACAGCATGATACTCCAAACTATATATCTTCTTATCACAGTTGATGCACAATTTATAAATTTATTGAAGCCTCCTATAACACGGTCATGTCATTCTATACTGAATTAAACGAAACAGTATAAATGTTCATGCTATATGCTTGCTCGAGCTTTCCGAATCGTGCTGTATGGAAAGAGTGTCACAAGAATATCGTGTTGTAGGAGAACCGTCGCAATTTTTGCGTCCTATTATATCGAAATCGTATTTTCAAGGTATATCATTAGAACAAAGTGGAGTATTATAATTAAGCAGTATTGGAATGAAAATGTGCGATCGAAGAGATACGCGCAATCCGTGACTATCTACATCTGTAAAATACTCGTGTCACCAGAGGGTAGAGCTCATTAAATGGCGTAGAATTTTTTCTCCCTTCTTTCCTTTAGAACAAAACTAGAAGCAAGATCCAGTTTATGGGATTGACCTGTATAGCAGTGTCACGAACGGTAACAAGTTCATGCATATTTATGAATAACGATATCCCATGGCGCGTTTTCAGTCTTAAATATTCTAACAGTCACTCAACTTCGATCAATAATAAAAATCAACCGTTATATTTTTGTCGTGATAAATTTCTTTGAGCGAACCGGTGATGCGATTGGCCGAGAAAACGAAAAAGCAATGGACCGTTATTTTTATACAACATTCAGTCAGAGAGAGAATGTAAGACAAGTAGTACGATGAACCTAGTGGGAATATTTCAAGGGAAAGGTAGAATGATTCCACGATTCTTAATGCCAAGGTATATCGCGACGCGAGTCGATAATACTGAAACGGCATTATTGCGAGATACACGCGTGGAGAAAAATTATCCTGCTTTTGAATTTAAAGGATTGTTTGCTAGTTAAGTTGCATGGGTAATTTCTCGTAGTGATTGGTACAAATATCTGCCATTACATGGTGGCATTGTTAGTATTTCATTGTGTCATGTATATAGTGTCATTTCATTGTGAGATTGTGATTAAGATGAAGGAGATAGTTTTAAAAATTGCAATTTTTAATTTGGGGGTTTGAGAATATTGAAAATTTGTAAATTTGGGAATTTAGGAGCTTGGAAATAAAAAGTTTGGAAATCTGAGAACTTTAAACTTTGGGAGTTTGGGAACCTGAGAATCTGAAAATTACAAAATTTGGGAATTTGGACGCTTGGAAATAAAAGGTTTGGAAATCTGAGAACTTAAAAATTTAGGAGTTTGGGAATTTGAGAATCTGAAAATTAAAATAGAAATTTGGACGTTTGGAAATAAAAGGTTTGGAAATCTGAGAACTTAAAAATTTAGGAGTTTGGGAACTTGAGAATCTGAAAATTAAAATTTGGGAATTTGGACGCTTGGAAATAAAAAGTTTGGAAATCTGAGAACTTAAAAATTTAATAGTTTAGGAATCTAAGAATTTGTAAATTAAAAAATTTGAAGATTTGGACGCTTGGAAATAAAAAGTTTGGAAATCTGAGAACTTAAAAATTTAGAAGTTTGGAAATCTAAGAATTTAAAAATTAAAAAATTTAGGAATTTGGATGTTAAATAACGCGAGAATTCGGTAGCTTAAAAACTGACAATTGCGAAGTTTGCAAGCTCTGTTCTTGAAATTTTAAACTTAAATTTGGAAATTTTTAATTTGAAACTTTCATAAAGTAAAGATAGATAGCATCTCGCGTTGCTGAAATGTCGTTCTCAAAATATTTCTAGTAGTTAAATATTCCCCAGAGACCTGTTCTTGGGGATCAATTAACCTCGCGCAATCTGCTTTGCTGTCTACATATATTCGATCAACATACGCGTATTATCTCTACGATGTTCATAAATTTAACGCTACTCTCCGATTTTCGTATAAGGACACCGAAATCGTATCGTCATTTCCATAATCAGATTATACAACAATTTAATACTCCTGAAAGCACGAAAGCTGAGCTCATTAACTCGGTCATTCCCTCATCAAAAATTCTTTTTGAACACGTATGAACGTGCCCCAAAATCAATATATCCGAATTAATTCGCTTCAGTCTCTGCAAATAAATTTACAGTATAATAATATAATTTTCATATAAAATATATGCATTTAACTATACATTAAAAGCGAAAATTAAAATTCCGAGGACCTTCGCGTGAAAGAATCAGCAAGTTCAAAATATACTTGGATGATTCACCTCTTTGCCAGGTCAACAGGTTGATTGCAATGCCAGTCTCGCATTGTAAAATCGCCAAGAAGCGAATCGCGAGTTTTTCCACTCGATTGTGCTTCTCGAAAATGGGAGTGGTGTTTTTTTTTACGGCTTTCTTAAACTGCGAGTCACGTCGCGATTGTATAATCCATCTCCTGCGACTGGTCATTTTTGAAAATCCTTGGTAAAAGTATAAAATATGTCTCAGTTGGACAAACACTCGAATATCTTCGAATATCTTACCTAGGATACAAATTTAAAAATATCTAACTTCATCGAAGAATAAATTAGGAAAAATATTTTCAACGTTTTAATATTCAATTTTCGTTTCCAAAAATTATTATCGACAAAGATATTGTCGAAGCTATTCGAAAAGAGACAAATACTCGAAAATTGAGTAATAAAAAAATACCTCATTTCGCAGCATAAATTAAATACAAATTTCTCGGATTTCAACTCTGCATCGCCATTTTTAGAAATTCTCAATGGCGAAAATACTTCGTCTGTATAAATATTCGAAAGTTGCCGAGAGCAAAAGGATATTATCTCGAAGGATGATTTAAAAGGAACTTTTTCAAAGTTCCAGTCTTCAATCTCAATGCGAAATGCTTTATTATTGTACGTATGAACGTGTTTCTCTCTTTGTAATTAATTACTTGCGTTTAATCACTTCGTTCCCCCTGAAAGGGGCAGAAATTCTCTCGTTCAAAGTTCCACGAATTGGAGATCAGAAATAAAATTTCAACCATCGCTTTTAACCTAGACGTAAACGGTTAAGCGCAATTATTTTAGCCGGATTCTTCGCCAAGGGATTAAAGGGAGAGGTTTAACAAACCCGTGAATAATGGAACGAGCTGAAGGAATTTTCTTGGAAATCGGCCGTTCGATTTGCTCAATTTCGAGTACGTAATGCCTGATTTTATTCCTCGTTAGAGACAGATGTTTCACATAGCGTATACGTAATTAGATTCAAAGTTCGGATACACGCATTCCACCTGATTATCTCGTCTTGTCGTTCTTTCGGCGTTACACAATTCGCGCGACTCCGCTACGCCGGTAGGGCATTGTTTAAACGAAAAACGTGAAAGAACGGAACTCGCGATTATAATTAACGAGTCTTGCGACGTTCCGTTTTAGAGGAAAAAAAGAGAAGCCTGCCTCGACTTCTTCCGCCAAGAACAATCGTCGCAGGGCGGTGCGATCGTCGACGAAATTTCATATTTTTCCGCTCTTTTTGTAACGAACGCACTTCGTTCAATTCAGCTCTCGCAGAATTTTCGAAATCCGCTGGTTCTCATACTGATCGAGATTCGAATCAAATTTTCTGTCGCTGCAGGGTGTTAAAACACGGAAGTGGCTGGCTTCGAGTGTAGATCGATGAGATTTCATTTTCTTTTCTTCTTTTTTCTTCTTCTTTTCTAATGAAGATATTTCGTTGAATTCTGGTTTCGCAAAATTTTCGAAATCCGCTGGTTCTCATACTGATCGAGATTCGAATCAAATTTTCTGTCGCTGCAGGGTGTTAAAACACGGAAGTGGCTGGATTCGAGTGTAGATCGATAAGATTTCATCTTCTTTCTTTTCTCTTAACGAAGTTATTTCGTTAAATTCAGACTTCGCAAAAATTTCGAAATCTTCTGGTTTTTCCACCGATGAAAATGTGTATTGAATTCTGTGTTATTACAGGGAATCGAACAATTGGTGTGGATAAATTTGAGTCGACATTTCGAACGTATTGAATTATCGTATATTTTTATATGTATAATTAAAAGGATATTTCAAAATTAATTTGCGTAATATCTTCGTGTCAAATTATTGGACAATTCTCGTAAAGTACATATCACGTGTATCGCGCAGATAATTTGTTGAGAATAATTATTATTAAAAACAAAAGTTATATTTTATTAAAACGGGATAAATAAATGACAGAAAATTAAAGTTAGTTATACAAAGGTGAATTTGTTTATTTTAAACGGTATATAGTTTATTTTCTCCATAAGACGGGTTTTAATAATTATAATTAGAATATTTAGAATATTAGATATAGTAAATAAATTTTTCTATCGGTAAATTTTCCTGTTTCTCAACTAAGAACTATTTTAGAAACTATTTCTTTTTCAAATTTATATAACTAATTCATCACAAAGTACCAAAAATAAAGCAACAGTCTATCAATATTTCTACATCAATATTTCCAATATTAAATTCTTCATAAGGTATGCATGCAATTCCAATATTAAATGCATCCTAAAGTTCTCCTATCTTTTCAAATTCACCTAGGAGTCTATATAATATCCTACCTTTTGCTATATACTTTTTCCAACTCTTTAATATTCCTTAAATATTATTAATATATATATAAAATATATTAATAAATATTCCCACAAAGTACCAAAAATAAAATACCATCTATAATAGATATATATCCGCATTAAATACCTAATCCAGAAAGCTCCAAATACTTCAATTCCAATATCAAATGTTTCACAAGCTTGATACCCAACAATTTTTTCATCGCGTTAAATTTTTCCGCCAGGATATTTCTTTTCAACGAATCCCATATTTGCCAAGCACCGCGATACCAGTGCCAAAACAAATTCCTCTCTTCTAATATTTTTTTTCTCGAAAATTAGATTCTTTTATTCGTTATGTATCGATATTCGTATATAGAGTGAGACTCACCTCTGGAAGTTCGTTGGTCCCTGTTATCCTTTCGTGTCGAGTTTCACACTTGCGACACAGAGGATCCCCGGCGTGTTTATGCTCACGGTACGCGCGGAAAGAACAGGATCGTGGTTCACGGTGCCACGATCAACAGCAGACTAGCCCGATACCATTCTCCATCGAGGTTGTAATATTCGACAACTTCCACCACTTTCTTGCCTTCCCTTCTGCCAGGTACCAGTTTATGGAAATGATCCGTGCGGCCGCTGCCATCTCGCCATTTTCGTCACGCTCGCTGTCGAAGAGATTAAGAGGAAGAGAGAAATTCGAATTAACTCGTTAAAAATAGGATCCAGGAATTTCTGAACAAACGATTATACTTCGATCTCGCGATATATTGAGCAATGGATATCAGGATATTCGTTATCACGTTGGCTTTGATTCCTTTATTTATGTGAAATTATTAGCTCACCGCGATATTAGTCAAAGATGTCAATACAATCCAAAATTCTATTCGAAAACCTATACAAATTGAAATGGCTATAGCAATTCGATAGGTTTTGATTCCTGATTTTCTCGATTTCGTTGTCCCTTGTTTGGGAAGTATCTCACTCGCGGAAGAAGAAAGTAGAAAGTATTTACAGGAACTAGTTGTTGATCGAAAAAATATTTATTAATTTTGTAATAGAAATTCTTCACGCGTTTTCTTATTTGTCGATTATTTTTGCTGCTCTTGTTTCAGTATCGCGAAAGTGATTTATGTTTTTGGCGTCTTTTTCTTACTCTTTCTGTGTTAAGGGATTTCACGTGAATTTTGGAAGATTTGGGGCATTTTTAACAAACTTCTGATCCACGAAAAGTGGTATTTATATAACACGTAGAAAGGTTTCCAAAGAATTTACTGAGATGAGATTTAGGAAGCCTACAATGTATATGGGTCAAGGTTTTTGAACGGAATTTTGGATTATGTTATGGAAGAATTTTAGATTCAATCATTAAAATAATTAAATATCACTGTGGAAAGAAATTTTTGCATTTAATTGGATTTGATTTATAAATATAATTTCATACATTTATTTTTGAACAAAGTTTGTAATTTAATTCCAAACACGTTCCTCTCTTTTTATGTTTTATATTCATCTTCAAATATTCCTTTAATAATTTAATAATTCCTAAATAACTTTTCGTATAATTTTTCATCAAAAATTTTTTTTTCAAGTATTTGGGAAAAGGGCTCTTATCAATTTTTTCTCTGCACATACATATACGTACGTGTATGACATTTTACATCAATATGAAATGCGCTTGACGAATTTTTATAAAATCAACGAGCATCGCGATATTCGTTATATCTTGCACAACAGTTTCAGATTAATTAAAACGTATCATTAATTGGGACGTACATATCCAAACCTTTAATTAATTGAAATTCCAATTACGTAACAGATTTAACTTTTAATTGACAGTTACGCGTTGATATCTACATGTAAAATCGCATTTCACCTATCGGTTGCATTATGTTTCATCAACCATTTCGATTTGTATAATAATGCTTTATCTATAAGCATCGTCACTAGCTTAGAATGAGTCGAGGATTAGCCGAACAAAATAACTGCATCGACAAATCGTGACTCGACGATATTTTCACATTATCTCCTATTATTCATTGATATTTCTAATATTAATATAATGCGAGAATGGAAAGTTCCGAATACGTTGATACATTTTTCATTTTTGTAACAGTAATTGCATTAGGGGAGCATAATCAAAGAAAGGGAAAAGTGTGCATTCAATTTGAACGAGTCGAGGATTGGCAAGGTAAGTTTCTTTCCTATAAACAATGATTAAATTATGACACAAAATTTATGATCATTTTAGGATAACGAGATATTCATTGGATATTTTTATGGAATAAAATTGCGTCAATTATTGAAGAAAAAGATTCTGGAAAAATTGGTATCCTTAAAGGAATATTTGTCAACTTGCTTAAGGTAAGTATTTAAACAGTAATTCTATAGACAATTATTAAATTATAACACTAAATTTATGAACATTTTAGGATAACGAGATATTCATTGGATATTTTTATGGAATAAAACTGCGCCAATTATTGAAGAAAAAGATGCTGGAAAAATTAATGTCGTCAAAGGAATATTTGTCAATTTGCTTAAGGTATGTATTTAAATAGCAATTCTATAGATAATTATAAAATTATGACACAAAATTTATGAACATTTTAGGGTAACGAGATATTTATTCGCTATTTTTATGGAATAAAATTGTGCCAATTATTGAAGAAAAAGATGCTGGCAAAATTGGTATCGTTAAAGGAATATTTGTCAATTTGCTTAAGGTATGTATCTAAATAGTAATTATTTAAATACATGTATATAATAATATTAATATGCAGCTTTTCTTGACGTATCTGTTTCCAGTCTATATAACCCATATTTCAAACTACGTCATTTTTTCCAGTATAATTTTCCTAAACATTGAAACCACTAACTCATCATCGTAATTTGTTATTTCTTTCAAATTGCACTGTTTCCGGAATATATTTAATTATGTGTCACTGATTACTTCTGCAATCCCTGATTCACGTGTAATAAACACATCTTCTCATTGGCTTCTGTTGGCAGTTTATTTTTCTCTTTGTGATTCTGATTCATTCACTGCACTTGTCGAATTTACATTACAAATGGTTCGCTTAAATGGCGCGTTGAACATTTCCTTAACCATCGTCCACTGTAGGAAATATTTTTGGCGATGAGTTTCATCGAATGGATTTTAATCTATTTAATCACCGAAGAAAAGTACGCAAAAAGATCATTGCAAGAAAATCTTCCAGAGTAATCGACAGCATTCGAAAAATTTCGCATCGATTTCCGTTTTTCAAACGAAACAAGCGTAATGGTATTCCGAAAAATTTGCTAAACGCTCCATTTAAGTATCATTTGCAGTAATAGCAACAATTATCCGTAATTATTGACGAATCCATTCGTTCGCGCGCCTTCGTTCAAGCAAGTCCTGTTTTTCTTGGAATGTAACGACAGGGATCTAAAAGAAAGTAATTCCCGCAAACGTGGATGTGTAACACGAGGAACTTAATGACAGGAGATTAATGACAGCTTGGAAATGTATTCGAGGACTTATGTAAAGCTTCTTTACGTTTTTCGTGATTCATTTCGGCCAACACTTTCAACGAGATTGACCAATCGATGACACTTCTCAGTGCTAGGTCTGATGAATAATGTATGTTATTTCTGAAAACGTTGCATTTATACGGAGTAATTATGTTAGACTGTATATCTTATGGTAATATTATGATAATTTTATTATAGAGGGTGATTCGCGAATACATGTTCATATTTCAGGGGACGAATTTATTAGATAAATTTATTCTTTTGGCTTATGATTCCTCTGTGGACATCAGCATTTTCAATGGCTCCCTTTATCTACTTTCTTCATATTCACAAAAGGTCGAATTACACCTATGAAACAAAATTAATTAATCAAAATAGGGCTGGTCATTTTTGAAGTTTTCATGAAGTTCATGATCCCCTAATTTCCTCATTGGATGATTTTCGTTGAGAAGCCCTATATTAGAATAATACTAAAATATAGTAGACAATACTGTCACATTAATACTGGCATGAAGTAAATATTTCTACTGTTATTTTCCTCGTTTCCATTTTCCTCGTTCAAAACTAGAAAGCTAAATTATCTGGGACACACTATTAATCATTTGATATTTTGATATTTTAGTATCACTATTATTCCTAATAACTAAAGATAAATGGAGTACTGTTAATACTTCTTATTAACCAAAAATCAGTCTAAATAAATTTGAATTTCAGGCACGAATGATCTCCCAACAAATTATGTACAAAGTGTACTTTGCTATTCGATACGGTACCATTATCATCGTAAAAGGTGCAATCGTGTACGGACAATGAGAACATAACGAAGTAATGAACTCGGTTTCCACTGTAATGTAAATGACTTATCGTCGGTGGGTGTGTTTAATCGTAATAGAAACCTGGAGATCGGAATGGAGATTTCGTGTCGCAAGAACGTTCGATTCGATTGAATTAGGGCAGCCATCGCCTTTTCAAAGGTCCGTGTTCTTTATTGCTTGCCAAGTGACTCGATGCATGTCGAGAGGCTACTTCTAGGTACTTATTTTCGATTAAATTAGAGTACTTGAATGTTCAGATAGTCCAGAAAAAGATAAAAAGTGTGTTCGTCGAAAGTATGTTACATTATTACCATTTTACTCTCTCAACGACACTTCGTGACGTAGGAGTTAGATATCCGTGTATTTATGCTTGGCAAATCTCATTCGATTTTGTTGTCACCCTGCTATTATATTTTATTTTTCACGCCACCGTGCTGGTTCTCAGCGTATGTATGCTAACGACCAGTTTCACGTTTTGTGATGTAAATGAGAAACTTGTTAACTAAGACTTTTTTCATTTTCTGTGGAAATAAAATTCGAATTATGAAGGATAGATGTGTTCGTAGGAGATCAGGAATTTTTAGTCTCAATGAAGGTAATTACAATGTTTGACGAATTAAGTCTATGAACGATATTTATCATTTTAATAATTTGATTTACCAATTCTAAGTATAGCATGGATGGGTAGGGATGATTAACGAAGAGTAACTAAAATAAATAGGTATTTATAATTACGTTTCTATATTTACGGGTCTACATTAAAAGGCTGCATTCCTTTTTCCAGAAATACCTGTATTTCCAGTAATAGCAGGAACAAAACGTCTGAAACCAGTCGCAAGGACTACTTTGGTAGCTTTAGTGTTAGGTACATCTGCAAGGTTATATATATAATATTTTATAAAAAATAATCATCATGTAAATCTTCATATAAATAATAACAAATATTTAAACGACGAAGAAAGCATTATTTAAATTTAAAAAATTTTGTAAAATCAGGATCTGAAATTTAAAATTCAATGCTTGAAAATAAGATTTTACACATTTCTCTCGTGTTACGTATGTTTATGTATTTATTATTGCTATTGGCTATTGGTATTTTATACATTTATTAGCATTTTTCATACAG